GAACAGAGGATGCTTATGCACAAAACAATTTTTTTTACATTTGGAGTAAACTACCTGAGAATGCTGCACCACTCCCCACTCCTGCTCACATGGTCTCCAACACCCATCTTAATGACCCTGCTTCCCTGTCCTACAGTGATTCGTGCAAAGTAAACATACAATTAGAAGGGGAGGTTTGAAATAGTCAAAAGAAAGGTGTCATAATCTGTGTCCTTTACGTGCTTTATTGATGATTTGATTTAATCAGCAATATTGTTTGTTTTTGTAAAACCTGCATAATAATAAAAAAAAATAGCCTTTTGAATTAATCTTAAAATGTATTTAATCAACTAATTGTACAAAAACTTTTTATCTAATACTGCTAAGGTCAGAACAAAGTTGGTCACATTCATTATATTTCTTTGCAGCATTCGATCATTTTGTCATAATCCCTTAAACCTAAACTTAAAAGCTAAAGCCTATCCCGGCTAGCATGGCAGGCAATGTGCGTTATGCCTTGAATGGGTTCCACAAAGAGACAAACAACCATACACACTAACTCCTACAGGCAGAGAGCCTTCAGTTATCCTAACATGCATGTTTTTGGTCTATGGGTCGAGGCTGGAGTACCTGACAGACATTTCAGTGAGTGGACATTTCTTAATATTAGCATTTTTGATAATATATCTGTGTCCTCCCTTTGGTAGCGATAAATGAATAACTGTTTGACAATAGATGTTTTTCTTGCATGTGTAAGAAAAAGGAAGAAGTGTATTCTATAGCCTGACATGTTTTCAACAAAGATTTACTATCTTTACATGGTACCTGACATCTGATATGTTGTGAGAAAACATTACAAAGATCACAAATGTCATGGAAACTTTTGCAACACCTTTTGTTTGTGGAGATTTTCAGGTGGGGTTTAAATGACGCACACACACATACAACAGTCTGCAACATGATATAGGAGTACATGAGCCTCATGTGACTGAAATAGCTACCCTGTTGCTTATCTATCAAAAACATTTGAAAATTGGGGAACAGGTTTACATTTTTATTTCTACTTATTTCTTTTATGAAATAGCGCTCTTTAAATTGGAACCTATATTCAGCTAAGCATTGCTGCTTTAAAAGAAACGAGGATCTCAGTTTTTCTTCCATTGTTGTTCCATTAACAATACATGAAACAGATTTATAAGAGAACTTCTGTTAAATCTCAAACATTAAGACATGTTTTGACAAAAGATTGTCTATAGAAGCTTCCTTGAGAATTAAGAATCCACTGTGTCCCTTCTTGTACACAGCCTGAGACATTTTCAATCTAGTCTGTTGTTCAATCATCAATCAGGTATCTGTATTTTTTCCACCAGTTATAAATGCAACTTTGGATTCATTTTTTTCTCACCGCTCATAAAATGAATGAATTCATACACAGTCATTTGTTTGTCTTGTTTTCATTTAGGCTGAGTTTTGGTTTCCACACAGAGCAGAAAAGCTGTGCACCAGTTATCTGTACTCAGCTGCCTCTCCACCACTGACACACCCCACAAATGCAGAGTCATCTGAGTACTTCTGCCGATAACAGGACTCAGAGACATACTGAGAGTCTGTGGTATTCAGCATGTTGGGAAATGGGTAAAGTACCATTACTTGTGGTGCGCTTGCGTTCAGATAAAATCTCAATTTTATTGAAGTCAATGTGATGAGAACAGCCACTAAAAGAAGCAGAAGCATAAAAGAAATTCTGAATTGTGCTGAGTGGCTTTAAAAACAAACAGGTTACAGAACAGAACAGACCGTTCGTATTGGTCTGCATTGATTGAGATTCTGATATAATTTATCAATCCTTTTAGGAAATTTTAAAAGAATTTCAATGGATAATATTGCTCTCGATCCATTTTCTTTACTCCAAGTAAGGGTTGCAGGGGGGCTGGAGACTATCACAGCAAATGGGCAATTATTTAATCCTGAATATGAAAAAGAAGGTCACTGATGTTAGCACATCCAACACACACATACACAATCATTCATGAGCTGAGATCACGGCTACGTGCAGGAGACAAATTAAGTGCTTCTTTGCTGAATGTTCTCAGAGTGTTCTTTGACTGTCCTGCCAAATCCTGCATCTCTACAGAGTCTAATTCATTATGTATTCAAAATATAGACGACAAAGTAACTTCGTTCAAATGATAAAGACAAGATAAGTAAAAATGTGTTGAGAATGTTAATCAAATAACTGATTTACTGATTGTGTCTCTTGGAACGTGTATTATCTGTATTAGTATCTTGTTTGAACCACATAAGCTGCTTATCTACTTCAATTCAAGTATCAATATACTGTATATACTGCATATGCTGTAATGTCTGCTTATGATTTATTAGGGAAAACTTTGATCATCTTCCAGACAACACATACAGGGATAGGGCTGTGACAGTCACTCAAACTGTGTCACCGGCTGAGACTTTATTACTAACATGAGAAAAGAAAATATCAAATAAGTGTCACTTGCCAGTTGTAATTAGTCAGTGTTCAACAAACAGGCTACGCAAGTCTGAGGCCAAAATACGAGTGACACAACAGGTGTGAGTCCCAGTTAATGATGCTTAAAGCATGTGGATTGCTTTGATGTGCACATGAATGTGTGAGACAATTAATATTGTGAAACGCTGTCTCGACTTTACAACATCATTTACACCGATTCGTCCTTGGAAAAGCCTTAAAATCATGCGATGAGACATTTTAAACGTGAAGTCATCAGATATTGCTGCTTCTTCTTTACCAAAATGAATGCAACCAGGGATGGGGAATGATGTGACATTGCATAAACTTATATAATTTTTAATTCTTATTTTAGTTGCATCTTTAAGTTCGAGGTGCTCAAACTGAACAGTACTGGCCAGTACTTATGATCTACAGTTGGGAGGGGCACACTGAATGAAAAACGTCTCTCTGCTGTCAGCATGAACACGAAACGGGTCAGTTTAAATTAAATCATTAAAGCTTTATCAACTTATGCATTGAATTCAGTTCATGCTCTTTAAAACCTACAAACAACCCCTTTAAGCAATAAGTATAGCGCAATTACAGTGTAGTGGTGCAAGGTAAGGGGTTGGAAACCATCCTGAGTTTTAATTGAAACCTTCTAGATTTAAGCTCAATTTTTTTCCTGTTGCTTGTTTATCAGTTGCTTTAGTAACCTTTAGTTACCTTTGTTGTTAAAGCGTGTGTTATTTAATGAGGCCAATTATGTATGTGAGTATATCATTTTACATAACTGCGGTAAAACCATGCCTCTAAGAGGAATATTTTTATTTCCAAGGCTTCGTGGATTGATTGTTGTCATACATGGAACTATGCAGAGCTCATCCCTAACGTCAGTAGCATGTAATCTGATACGCTGCGTCTGCTTATTTAGGTGTGGAGATGGTCTTGTATAACATACAACAGTGATTTGTGGACGTCTGATAGATGAGTAATAAAGAGTGAGTATGTGTTGACGACATTTTGTGACTGTTTGTTTTCATGATCCCACACAATTTTACAGGTGTTCTGAGGTCCCATTTGGCTGTTTTCTCATCTTAAGATGTAATTTTTAGATAGAGAAGCTTCTTCTCCTGAAAGACTTTAAAAGGAATTGTTATTAACTATTCCCACTCAGCTCTTTGAACTTGTATATTTCTTTCAAAGTTTATTGAATATCTATTTCGTCAATTGAAGGTTAACCAAACAAGTATTAGAAAGCATTTGTAAGTAAAGAAAACTTTAAACTATTTATGTATTTCTTAAAATTATTTATGTATACTTATCTATACATAGGATATTCATATAATAAATCATGTTTGTGTTTGAGCTAAATAACTGAGGTAATGTGGAACTGACTAGCCGTCGCACAGTCATTTGGCAGTTTCAGTCTCAGAATCGTATTCCTCAGTTGAAACAAAGCGTCTCACGACAAGTTGTGACAATCACTTGGTGGGCATTCCTTTGTGCTGATGTCACATGGACATGGCTCAAACCTTATCATGAGTTTAAAAAAAGCTGTATGATTTGTTTTTGCTTTCTTTATTGTTATGCATATATATTTTTTTATATTCAAGCTTTTGGCTAGACTTAAAATTTGAATTTTCTTTCTTCTAATATGCTTCAATAAACGTCTGCTGATAGATTATGAAATATTTGTAATGCTGCCAAGTGTGTCATGGTGAGCAATCCAGAAGCAACACGCACATAGTAAATATTTAAGTTTTCTCCTTGTTGGGGCCAAATGCCTGTTTTGGAGAATTTTTGTGTCCACATATTTTATATGTATAATCACGTTGTTCTGTTTTTTATGCATGTGTACAGTATCACCTTGACCTCCTTAATTCAATGTTTCTGTATGTAGTAAATAAACATTAAATTAAACATTAAATGAAAATACATGTCATAAAATGGCTCTTTGAAAAAATCATTTCTAAAGCTATTGGGTGCCTTGGATTCTTTTGTAAAACTATTTTGTACTTTACATAAAGCCTAATTACACTTCTGAGAAGTTTTTTGTTTTTTAAAACAAGCAACTTTTTTTTTTATCAATCCCTTCACATGCTGATCTATGAGATCAAACCCAAAGACCAAAAAACAATTTGTTTTTGTTTTTCACATGTATGTTGATAGGAGTTTTTCCTCGTTGACCTGGAATCTGCTTCAGGCTTTTTCCAAAGGCTGTCACCATAACTCTCCCTTGCTAGTGGAAGTATGGCAACAATGCCATTAGCGTGAGCGTCATGAATGCCAAGGGGAACCAGTATTACTGATTAAAAATATAATGAAACTTGTTGGTTGTTCCTGGACCAACAGCCAAAAAGTAAGTATCATCCAGCTGGAGACTCAGCATTACGTGTGAGAACATAAATGAGTGGAAAAACTAATGAGTCGTAGATATGAGAGACTCAAACTTATGCTTTTGGCAGTGGTTGTGTTTGCTGTATATGCTGAAATGGCAAACTGCATCAGCTTGCAGCAAGCCACAGTTATCACCCACCTGCAAGGTGGCACGTATCTCTGGTCTGAGTCACCGTATCCAAACTGGGTCCAGTTCAAGAGAGGTCTGGAAGCGGTCAGGAGGAAAATCCATCCTGAGCTGTCCTGATCCTCTCCTGCACCAGGGCCCACGGCCTGCTCATGCTCATTACATCCACACAAAGCGAGATGTGTTCCCGTGTTCAGTCTAATAGACCAAGATCTGAGCATGCCACACATTGACGCAAAACGGAATAATAATAGTCACGCTCGGGCATCTGACAGTGAGGAAACAACAACCAACAAATAATGTGCTCACACAATCAGGTCATTTTCATGCTGCGATGCGCCAAGTCCCCTCGACCTGGCATCCCACAGCATTGAAGTACAGGACAAAGATTATGCGTTGGAGGAAGAAGTGTCTATGAGCCTCAGTTTAGATGACGATTGATGCACATGACTTCATTGATGCAATGTCCTCAGTTGGTACATGGTTTTGTTTCCAGTTGTAGAGTTGGAAGTGGATAAAGTGTAATGTGGCCTCTGCTTCAGTTGTGTCAAATGTGTGAATAGATGGGAAAATTTAGTTAAGCATTGTCTGTGTTTAGAGGGGGGGATGCCTGGCGGTCTGACTCAACACTCCGTGCAGCCAGTCACGTCAACATTCCTTCCACCGTATTTGTCTTGGACAGGGAACCCAAAGGGAAAACATCAACTTTACCATCTCTTAAACTGCAAATCCATCATCCCTACAAAATATTTCCTACACGCAATTGAGCTAGCTGTTATTTCAGTCCAAAGAACATGGAGCAATTCCTCACACCTCATATAAAGTCCTTTTATCCCTACAGATCTTTTCCTGGCAAAATATGTGTCAATTCCTGAAAAATGTCACTTTAATTCATAAAAGTCTACTGTTATGCAACATTTTTTAGCTTTTGCGTGAATGCTATTCCTGTAAGTGTCAAGTTGTCGTTTTTTATTATGTCATGCTTACAGTCCAAATTCAGTTCAAAGCGGTATGAAAATATACCTAGAAAACAGGGACTGTAGATAGGCATGGACCAATAAAAACTGTAGATATCTTATAGACATCGTTAAATTGAGAGATATGAAAAAAATATTTTTAAGCAACAAATACAGCTGACATGAAATTTACCCAAGCTATCTGAAGTGGCTCATCTTGAGGCCACTGATCTGTTCTGCAGGAAATTCCATCCCTCCTAACGCCACGCAGACCTGCTCAAGGCCAACAAGCATCTACATGTTTCATGTGGAAAAGTGAAAGCTTAAGCTGCCCAAATATGTGTGTGTCCATACGAAAATCTAGACAGGGAATGAAGTCAAGATGAAAACACTGATCTGGATTTTTTAAAAAGTATTTTGAAATACAGTAAAAGCTCTCACCACTGCAACAGACCTTCTGCCTGATCTTCGTGGGAGATGGAGCCATTATAGGTTATAGTCATTTACTTTCTAAAATTTATTATATTGAACTTGTCCACAGGCATACCTGCTTTTTCATTGTTTTTCTGATTCAATCTGATAGTGTAACCGAAATAATACCCAAGTCAAATGAATTCTTTCTATTTCGCTAACTTCTTATTTCTTTGAAATACATTTGCAGTCTAATTTAAGGCTGGACTGACAAAGTTATGCAAAGATAAAGTTCCCAAACCAAAATAAAAATTTCTATCATTACTAAGGACTTTTGTCTAGTATTATTGTACTATATATTGTGTTTAAATACTGACGTGTTTTTTATTTTGTATGAATATGCTGACATATAAATATTCTTTATAAAATGTCAAGAAAAAAAGTTTGTAGAGAAAGACATTTAGGCTCTTTATTCAGAGGATGAAACATCAATCACAGGGCTATTGATTGGAAGTTGTTTAAGTTATGTGACAAACTGTGTACACTAGATTGTCTTAACTGGCATCATCTGCATCAATACACTGTTGTTTTCAGATGATGCTTCGGTCAAGCCTTTATTTAGTTCTGTCGCTATCCCTGTTGGAGTTTTAAAGCTTAATGCGTCTACAATTATTATCTATTACTACTTAGACTGTGTTTAGCAAATGTGGCAGCTATGATTAAATCGAAATGGCCACCATGCTGTCTGCTAAGGCTCTGATATAGTCATATATATTTATGTGTTCGCAAAAGAGTTAGATCTAACCAACTGCATTCATCAATTGTGGACTCAAATCGCACTTCAAGTAAATCATCTTCACTTTATGTGCATGCTTTGAAGGAAGTAGGTAAAATCCCGTCAAACTGAAACTTTGTGCTGGAACAAAAGTTATGTCTCAAAATGAAAAAGACTTCGGGTTATTTCTAGGAAATTGTTTTCCTGACAGCATTTATTAGCATCAAAAGTTGCAAATCATCAACATTAAGAAACAAAAAATTCCATAATGATATTACATAATTCCTGTAGAGCAAATATTCACTCAAAGGGTTGCATCTTAGACTCACTCAGGCACACATTTCAAACAGTCCCAACAAAAATAAAAATCTGAAACAGTAATGAAGTGTAATGTATGCTAAATCAGATCAAAACACTCAACTTAAGTCATTGTAAATGTTACTACGTGTGAAGTTGTGGAGCTCCCAGCTGCTGGGCTGATCCTACACGTAAGCACTGTATAGCCAAGCCATGAATATGGCTTTAATATTAATGAGATGTACAGCATTGCATTGAATGTGAGGAAACACTAAGTGTTAATTCTACTACTCTGCAGTCAAAACTGTAAACTAAATTTCAAGTATCAAATTGCATTGACTGAAATCCTCACCGTGACAATAGTCTACAACATTTTCAATAAATAACACATTTTTGTTCCACATAGATACTTAAAAGGCTTGTACAAATACATATAGAAAAAAACTTAATTTATATCATAGTCTATAAATAGAAATACAATAAATATCGAAATAAATAAATAAATAATCATTAACAAAATGCATAAAATTCCTATTGATAATTAGAGCTCAGTAGTCCTTTCTTTCAGAATGACTGTGGGGTTGATGTTACTGTCGCGAGAGTTTGATGTGCTTGAGTTGAGGATCATGGAGCTGGTCTCTTTAACATCAGGCACATGAAAGGACGCCACAGGACAGGGACCCCGCACGTTGTTGCAGACGAGCCTCTGCAGAGACGCCGTGTTTACAATATCGAAGCCGACGCTGCCTCCAAAGGTGCTGGGCTTCCAGTACTCCGGGGAACAGATGGGATTCCCCATTAAGCCCTTGAGAGAGAATGGGGCCCCCATTTCTACCATTGTCTCTCCAAAGATGGCATTGGGCCGAGGCTTCTCCACCAGCAGGCCCGGATAGAGCTCCACAGCGTCGACGTGCCCGTACAGCTCCTTCAGCACTGCAGCCATTTCTTTCTCTCCTGAAGGAAAAACAAAATTGTCAGTGATTTAGTTTGGCTCAGTGGCTCTGCAGCTGCAGTCAATCTAGGTCTGACCCACTATAGGCCAGAAAAAACACTTCTCCTATTATCTTTGCTATAATCTTTCTTCAGAGACTTGAAAAAGCTAAAACTGACTTCAAAATCAAGATTAAATCTTTCTTTGAAATAGTCTCCTCTGAAGCAGGAGGTCAGTACCATGAGTTTACATCTCGCTCTTTCTGATGACACTCTGCTTACAAAACTTCAAGATGAGAGGAACATCTGGCTCTCACGGATATAAATACCTAACCTCCAAAGTAGTCTAAACAATTTCCTTAATTATAAGTAAAATGTGGCATAAGCTGCATTTATTTTTTTTCATACACACTATTCAGTTGGTTAATGTAGCAAATATTTAACACAAGGCAGCAGTGGTGATGTTCCACTAAAGTAAAGCTGAATTACTCTTACCGGTCATGTCTTCAAAGGAGCTGTAGGGCTTCATGGAGAACCTTTTTCTGTAGGCATTAAGAGACTGGTACCGCATTTTTCTGCTGCCCTCGATGGACTTTATGGACACGTACATAATAGGGCCCGGGACATTACGACCACCAGCAACCTTTAAAACAGAGCAAAATTTTAGTATTGCAGCTTTTTTAATACAATGGCATTAAAAACTGTTTGCTGCTACAACAGCATTAAGAGCTCTTACCCGTCCTGCAATCTGCTTGGAAAAGGACTCGACCAGGTTGCTGATGCCGTGCTCAGTCACCACCGTAGTGTTGAAGACAAACTCTTTGTAGCTGTAATCTTTCTCCTCAATGTGGAAACTATCTGGCATCAGTGGGTGCCAGTGATATAGCGTGTTGAACTCAGATGAAATGCGGTTTTGATACTGGAAACGCTGGTTAAAGAGCAGCTCGGGGTCAAACTTGAGCTTAAAGTTATACCCACTCAAGTGCTGCACGTAGTCCTCGATCACAATCTTGATGGTCTCACCTAAAGAGCAAATAGTGACATGTTATAGATAGTCTTTTTTTGTTCGTATGGTTGTTCAGCACGCGTCCAAAAATAAAATACCCTAAACGTTTCCTCTTTCATTTGCTATAAAGGAACAGTGTTTTACAATGCATCAATTTTCCTGTTAAGAGTGTAACACTGCTGATGGTCAGAGATAACCAAAGTAAATACTGCAACTTCCTGTATTCTGAAATCCCCTGTTGCTTCACTGAAAAGTAACTCATTTGAATGCAATTTGACTTTCCTGGTGAAGCTACAGGAAGTATATTTTTAAAGACAATTTTCATCAGAATGTTAACTCACCAATAAGAATGAGCCGTGTGGTCTGGAAGAGTCTTTCGTCATCCCAGTCTGGGTGGACTTCTTTCAACACATCACACACTCTGTTGTGCTCACGGAGCCAGATGGTGGCATACATCATGAGACCAGGGACCAGGCCAAACGCTTCGTGGCCAACGGCGAAGCGGTGAGTGTCCGGAACATGTGGCGGGTAGTGCATGTCCACACCCACTTCCTTAACTGTAGGGGGGTACACTTCTCCATCCAGTATCTACAGCGTTACGCAACAAGGGAGAAGGCAACTGTAAGCCACATATATGTATTTAAAAGCATCTGTCTACCAGAAATGCAGCTAACTTTTCCCATACCTGATGTCTAAGTTTGCCATCCTTGAAGAGTCTGAGCTTGTGTTGCCTCTCCAGGTTGTCACCATAAATGTGACTGAGGTCCACCTTGAATGGTAAACGTCCCAGTTAGGCCATGCTTCATATTTAAATAAAATATTTTAAATAAATGTGCCTCTTAATCTATTTGATCTCGAGACCTGATGTACTCACCCCGTGACCTGTAGCCACAGTGAAAGCAGGTCCTTTCTTCATATCAGATTTGAAGAACTGGTGAGTAAAGTGCTGCGCGAAGAAAGCAAACATCAAGCTGGTGCCCTGTGGATCGGGTATAAACTGTCTTCTCATCAGGAGCTTCTCAGCCAAAACCTTAACATCAGGGAGCTCCTTTTTACCTGGAAGAAAAATAAAGTGGTACCATGATTATCAAGAACAGATTATCTAAAACTACAGCTCTTTACATCTATTTTATCATTTCAATGTGTATTTCAAGTTTAGCTTTAGTTCTGTCTTGCTGGGACAAGATTTGCTCAGACTATGAGAAAATAAGAGACAGGATGTTCTCGCGCTGTGTTTAAGAATCTGAAAAAACTGGTTCTCCTAAGTTAGAGAGAGCACACTCACCTACTACTCCCATAGGGGTTGGGCAATCTTCAGGAACAGGGGGAAGGACACGTGTATAATAGGACAGGTTGGAGTACGCTTCCCAGCTTTTATAACCATAATCAGCATTAAAAGTTGGAGGACTGTCAATCAAATGGGAACGAGCTGAGAAGAAAAGAAAAAAAGTGATTTATAAGTGGGTGTACAAATGATCTAATGAATTCTGAAGAGGTTTCAGGACTTTAGAATTTGCCTTCAGCCAAGCAGACTTACATGTTAGCACATATCTCATGATGGCATCCCTGATAAACGAAATGTTGTTGATGATGTTCCAAAAACCCTTGAAGTGGGTAAGAATGTAGTGGATTGTGTTCGGAGATGGCTTCAGTGACACTTTGATCCAGGTGAGGAATTCCGCTGCCAGTACAAAGAGGAGGGTGAATAAATAGACCACAGCAGCTCTATAATATTTAACAAAAAATGAAGGTTCCTATACTTACGTGTTGTGCAGTTGTGTCCATAATAGCCCGTGCGGGTGCAGTCACACTCGTAGTTATCTGACCCCAGAGCTGTGCACACACCTCTGTTCTGGCATGGCTCTGAGCAACACGGGTTGCCTGGAAGAGGCAGGGATGTTCAGTTACGCGTTAGAAGAAGTTAGAAATATTACGGTACATTTCCTTTCTTATAAAAAAACCCCCTAAAACAATTCAACATTATCCATTCTTATCAACTTCACATAAACAGAACATAGTCTTCCAGTATAAAAAATAAACTATTGATCCCGTAAATTCGTCTCAAATGGTAAAACGAAAAGTGAGAAATGATTTTCTGTTTGGACTTACCTCCTTCGCAGACGATAAAACCCAGTGCCAGTAGGAAACCCGCAAAAGCGATTCTGTTCATACTCTAAATGCGTCTTGAGGTCTTCTTCTTGGTCCTCTCCTGTGCCTCTGTCTCTCTGACGCTGAAAGCCTGATTTTCCAAATCTACCGTTGCGCGGAGCATCTTTAAGGGATTCCGTGACGTCACTTATGGGCGGTCTCAGTCTGGTGACAGAGTGTGTATTTAATCAGGTTAATCAGGCAAACTCTGGGGATCCCCAATCCCCAATCTCCTAAATCCATACAAAAAATGAATCCCTTTTCCTCTAAAAAGGATTTAGGAAAGAATGTGCGTTTACATGTGTTTGTTTACTTTGACACCAAAGAAACAATCCGCCAACTATTTGCCCTCTTTTGAAAACTGAAGTTGTAATTATCTTTACGCAGACATTATCTTTAGTTTCATTTAAACAAATAATTATTCCTTGACTATTAAAAACTTCTCACAGCTTGCAACAATTCCGGTAAGAATCATGAATATGCAAATTCTCGAAAGGAAATGGACACATCACTTAAACAAATGTGAGATTTTTTACCTATTAATAAACGTGTAACTACATTTCCTATGAAATGAAGTTATATTAATATGATCAAAGACATATCTTTAAATCTATCTATCTATCTATCTATCTATCTATCTATCTATCTATCTATC